CAGCCTGCAGTAGGCGACTCTGCCTCAGCAGGAGGGTTGGACTAGATGACCCACCGAGGTCCCTTCCAACCCCTACCATTCTGTGATTCTGTGTGATTCTGTGATACATGGAGAGCTACTGGTACCGAATTTTTTCTAGGAATAAGTGCTGTTGGGAGGGGAAAAAAAAAAAACAAAACAAGAGTTGTTAAATGAACATCACCAGCTATAGTTATACAAACTTACAACACACATAACGCATCACATACAAAAAAAAAAAATTTACTGGTTGCTAGGCATCAAATGAGAGTGACCATTAATATCTATTAGGCTGAAGTGTGAGAACACTGTGATTATTCACGTTCCTTACCAGGACAGATTTCCAAGAGAGTCAAGTAACTCTCTCCAGAGCGCTGCATACTGCAACGCACGTTCTCTTCATGAGAACAGAAATGATCCTAGGGCTACTTTATATTACGTAAAGCCAAGCTATACTTCGCCTAAACATTTCCTAATGGTTTAACTAAGCTTAGGCAGGTCCTTGATTCAACTCTGACATGGTGCATGTTAGTACCACAGCACTCTTACTAGCCCATAGCAATGATATAAGGTCTTCTGTCCCTGCAGTACAGAAGTTTTAGAAATCATAACCACGTTAAAAATGAAGACCCACAAATGTCTCTCCCTCATTTTTCTCTCCACACTGACATAATATAATTATATGGTATGTTTCTGATTCATACAACACATATAAGTTACAACAGTCTACGAGCTGCTTTAATACAGGAAAATGCCAAACAAGAGCAGGATTTTACTTTCTCTTTTATTTTACACATTCCCTCAGAGTCATTTTAACAGCAAAAACAACTGACATTTTACCAGTCCCTCAGTTATTATCCTGGAGCGTTAGACCCTGTCAGAGGAACACTCCTGCATTTTCTTTCAGTTCTTCTACAGATGACAATCTTCTGGGGAAGCACAAGTGATGTGGAATCCAGACCCCTAACCCAATGCAGCACTCCAATGAGAAATGGATTTTTTTCAAGGCAGACTGATGAAGATGGAAGATTTCAGAGCACTCCTACTTGAAGCATACAGTTCCCCCCAAAAAATATCTAGACCTACTCTACTACTACGTGGAACACTAACGGAGAAGACCTCAAAGGCCAATGCTCAAACCCTTTCCTCGGCAAGTAAAAAAAACACTTTTCTAAATAGCTTACTGCTTCAGAAAACACACAAAACAATTGTTGCTCAAGAAGTTACTTTCAAAATTTATCACGTCTAGTAGAATGGGAGAAGGGGTACAGAAATCAAGAGGGCACCAGAGCTTTCTGCCTCAAGCTTCCTTAGCAAGTGACCCCACAACAACAAAAAGACCTTTCAACGTGCACTTTCTGGATTGTCTTCTGAGTAATAATTTTTACCAAAGTTATAAACTTCTGAAAACAGAAGTTAATAATGGAATCTTAAGCACACGGTGAATCTCATGGTAAATCTCATTGCTAGGCAACAGGGAAAATACTCTGTTAACACATAGTGCAATTAGATTATAATGCTTTACTTAATTTATGGCACTGAAACTATCTTATTTCATATATTTTCTTCAAATTCATGGATTGGAAAACAGAAATGAGATAACGTTACCAAATTAATTGTGCTCCATTACAATACTTTTAAATCTGAGCACTGAAGAATGGCGAAGCTGCACCATCGCAGCAGCAGTGGAGAGGATGCATCGCTACTGTGCAGAGCAGGACAGAAGACAGGCTTTTGTCACATCAGTTCAGAAAAGGCAACAGTGAAGAAGTCTAGGTGCGCAAGAGTTGAATGTATGTGAGAACTACACTCCACACACCTCTCTGAGCTATGCCACTGCTGTGGCAATGAACCAGTGGAAGTAACAAGGCAAGCTAGACTGGAAAACCACTCCTCACTAAAACTAACCTTGGTTTTTATTTTGGATTTTGAATGTAGTCAGATAGTTATTCTCACAATTTTATTATCTTCTTTTTCATTTTTAATTCAGGGTGAGAACGGGAAGCTGTGTCACAACGACATAGCTGTAATTGCTGAAAAGAACTGAGCTAGTGTTTTTGCCTAGTAGTGAACAGTGTCCTCTAGACATACAGATTTGCTCAGACTTACGTTAGGGAACTCTGCACCTCACCCCATTTCTCTCTGCAGACTTTCTCTTTTTCTCTTCTATTCTGCAAGAAGTAGATGATGAACACTGTGGAGTTCAGTTGCTCCTCCATTACCCTTCCACAGGAACACACAAGCAGTATGACAGTCTTTTATTAAACAAATTATTGAATGTAATTTGGAAGGTATAACGATTTGTTATAGAAATGCACATGCTACTTCACAGAAGAAGAAATTCCAGTCTGTTACTAAATTTCAGCAAAGGAGAAAAAAAAGGAGGAGACATTTTAAATTAAATTTAGAATTGGAAGATATAATCAGAGGAGTGGCTTTCTGCAATCTACTATTGCTATTCATTCAACATTATTAAAATGGCACATATAATCAGGCTGTGATATAAAACACTAATCCAAATGCAAATCTTACTTATATGCAACAATTTACCAAATGAGGACCAGCAGTCCTCATGTTCTCAATCAGTTCTGAGAAGTGTGTCTGTATGCAAATACAGTTGCATACAAGTAAATGAGCTCAGATTAACAGCACATTACAGTAAACGAGTTCCCTTTGCAAGCAATAAACGGACAGTGGTTACAAAAGCCTTCCCTGTAACCTCTGAAACCTATCAGCACCTTTGCATGTACAGAAGTGTTAATATCTTCGCCCCTCTAATACACACAGTGTGTAAAACATTTCAAACCATAGCAAATGTAATTGCACTTTCCTTAAGTATAGAATTTGTCTTTTTTTAAAAAGGTTTAACTTGACATTTATTGTTAAGCAATGTAATTAAGTGCCATGTGCTTCTGTGTATTTTCCCTTGCTCAGAAACGCCACGAATGCTTCTATGTAAATCACTTTAATCAATCACTCTCTTCATGTGACAATTTGTATTCAAAATACCAGATAGGCATTTTGAATAAGGGTTCCAAATAGTGATTTAAACCCGATGTAGAGCATAGAGATATAGATGGCATTTCTG